TGGTTGGGAGGCTGTCTATGTTGGTGCCCCCCTTCTCACTATCGGCAATGTCTTCACCGTCGTCGAGAGTTTCATCAAGATTGGCATCGAATCCAAGGTAACGTGGGAGCGGCCGGGAGCGCGCCTGTCTCTGATAGGCCCAGTCTGACCTTTTGTAACTCTGACGCTGTGGCTGCTGTGACACAGAACTTGTCGTCGTACGACGTGTGCAGCATCCTGCTGGGCACCTCCACCCTGCTGGTGTGGGTGGGGGTCATCCGCTACCTCAGCTTCTTCCAGAAATACAATGTATGTATGAACGACACAACGACACGCGTGCTTGTAGCTCTGTAAAAACCTACTGTGTTTGACCTCTTGACCCTTTGACCTCAGATCCTGATTGTGACTCTCAGAGCCGCCTTCCCAAACGTCATCCGTTTCTGCTGCTGCGCCGCTGCCATCTACATGGGCTACTGCTTCTGTGGGTGGATCGTCCTGGGACCGTACCACACCAAGGTAGAGAACGGAGAACCTGGGAGCAGAAACGCCGAGGCTGCGCTCACCGCTCACCGCTGTTCTTTGTGACTTCCTGTCCAGTTCCGATCCCTGTCCATGGTTTCCGAGTGTCTGTTTTCTCTCATCAACGGCGACGACATGTTCGTGACGTTTGCTGAGATGGAGCACAGCAGCACGCTGGTGTGGATCTTCAGCCAGGTCTACCTCTACACCTTCATCTCGCTCTTCATCTACATGGTGCTGTCCCTCTTCATCGCCCTCATCACCGGAGCCTACGACACCATCATGGTACGGTAGAGGTCACTGACCTGTCGTCATCACACTGACAGTTTAACCATGAGCGGGGACACGTTCGGTTCCAACACCTGAACGTCTCTTAGCCTACGTACTGCCACCTACTGTGCTGTAGTGTGTAGTGTCATGGTATGACCAGTGAATCCTTGAGATGAGATGTAAATATATATAAATATGAAGCTGTTGTTTCCAGAGCGGTCTACGTCAGTCAGTCTTCAGCTCTGACTTCCTGTCGTCCCACAGGCCCAGACTCAGGAACAGGTCCGCGTCACTGATCTGCACGCTTTCATCGCACAGTGCACCGACACGCCCTGCTCCGGCAAGTTCCGTGGGCCTGAGGGGTCGTCGTGTTCTTTCCTCTGCTGCTGTGATTGGTGAGCAGCAGGAGGAGGAGGAGGAGGAGGAGCAGGAGGAGGAGGAGGAGGAGGAGGAGGTGTACAGTATGTATGTGTGATGGACAGATCATTTCTTTTCAGTCCACTCACAGTAAATTCCCTCCATTTTCCCAGAATGCCTGGAGAGTGACCTGAGTGACCTTCCCCCTCATTATTCTCCGCCCTGAGTTTTGCATTTAGATTTGTTCTGGAACAGAAGAACTCTCTGCACAGTCACAGTCCAATTACCTGCTGTATGAATAATTTAGTATTTTATTCTTTTTTTCTTTTTAATGTGAGTTTGTCAGAGCTGATGAGATTCATGTTTCCAGTCAGAGGTGTTCACTCACATCCACTCACAGTGGATTCTGTTTTTTTTACATTTCCCCGTGATCTTCAAATGAGACACGACGACAGGAAGTGGAAAAAAATCGAACGCTCTGTTGTTTTCATGGATTTCTGCAACAGTTTTTCCTCATTTCAGTCCAAGTTGGATTTTATTCCAAAATCTTTGTTCATTTGACTGCACTAAAATAAAGAAGAAGGAGCAGGAGGAGGAGGAGGAGGAGGAGGAGGAGGAGGAGGAGCCCTGCAGCCAGTCATCAATATTCATGAGGCCTTTCAGGCAGTGAGGAGCCAGGTGCTCCTCTCCTCTCCTCTCCTCCTCTCCTCTCCTCTCCTCTCTTCTCCTCCTCTCCTCCTCTTCTCTTCTCTAATGCACTAATGTAAGACAGTGGTTTGTCGACTGAAAACCTTCTTAAACAAAATGAGAATTTCCTGTGTGTAAAAACACCAGGTCAAAGGTCAGACAGTGGTTTTCAGTCAAACCTCATGTTCTTTAACACTGACTGGTCCTGAGGACAGAGACCAGGACCAGACAGAGACCAGGACCAGACAGAGACCAGGACCAGACAGAGACCAGGACCAGACAGGCACCAGGTTCTTCAGTGTCGTTAATATTCTGAGTTATTTAAATGTCAAAGTGCAATATTTCTGTTTTAATTCTACTGTTTGTTCCACTGTTAGAAAATAATGTTTTATTTTAGTTTTTTTTTTTTAAACATATTTTAAACATTGTTTTTTCATGTTTTCACATGAGGTGATTGGTTGAATTAACATCTGTTTACAAGTCCAGAGTTAGCACTTCCTGTCAGCCTCCAGTCGTGGTTGTACGGTTGGTGACGGTGAGTTCTGACTCTTGGACTGCAGTCGTTAAAGAAAACCTGTTGTTGTTTTTAACTGGTAAATGTTTCAGGGAGTCGTTTTATTTCACAGTTTGTACAGAGACATTGAAATGCATGCTGGGTAAAGTCAGTACCCTTTACTGCACAAACAAGACCAGGGTCAAAGGGAACGGCTCTGACTTCTTCATGATTGTTTTTATCTCTGCTTCCTGTTTGTTTACCTTTGTTTACAGACATTGTTTACAGGTCACACGTGTTTTGTTTGTATTTACAGCAGACCCCAGTCTCACCAGGGAGACGTTGAGTCCAATGGTGGGGGTGGGTGTGTGTGTGTGGGGGGGGTCACAGACCTGTGTGTGTTCACAGCTGAACTCATCAGTTATTCATGAAGGAAAAATAGAAACAGTAAAATGACCTTGACACTGACGCCTGCCCCAGTGGCGTCTTTATGTACTGCAGTATATTCTTAGCATGAGGTGTTTTCATCATTTTAGAGCAGATATAATTGGAATCTTATAGTAAATCCTCAGTGAACTCACACCATCTATAAATGGAGGTCAGTTATTTATTCATGAAGATGAGACGAATCTACAGGTTTTTACTCTGGTTTGTAAATGTGTGTGACTTTCTGGAAATAAGTAAAGAAATAAACACGGACCAAAAACAACCTTATTCTCCATATTACTGTTTGTTTTTACAATGTCAAAGCTACAGTCAGTGTCTGTTTTTAAAGTTCTCTTTTATCTAAAGAAAATTAGTAGTTTTTCAACATAAAATCCCAGAAAGGATTGTCTGTCCTAGCAGTCTGGTACCACTAGAGGGAGATAGTAGTCTCCGTCTGCTGACAACATCATCATCCGCCCAGACACAGGAAGTTAATGTCCTTCAGAGGTCAGAAAGAAGCAGGAAAAAGTGAAACAGATATCTGTGTGTGTGTGTGTGTGTGGAGGACATCGTGCCACTGACTGCATGTATTATTTATTATTTACTCCAGAGTAGGATGAGATGGACAGGAAGTGGTCGTCTCACAGACAGACCGGACCCTGAAGCTCTCACCAGGTCAATTTATGCCACTGACCACTGACCACTGACCACTGAAGACTGAAGGATGACAACATGAGTCACAGTGTCGGAACTCATCGACTACGATGTCACCAGATGTTTGATCATTAATAATAATAGAAATAATAATAATAATAACAATAATAATAATAATAATAATAATAATAATAATAATAAAGTCCCAGTGATGATGTGTCTGTGCTGGACGGTTGACGTCCTGTCAGTGATGTTCTGACTGTTTGTGCTGTGTTCCTGTATGTAACGGTTGTTGTGTGAACAACCCCCCGACCTTTTGCCCCCCCCCCCCCCCCCCCCCATGACTGGAGGCCAGGTTTCAGGGCTGAACTTCTGTGTAGTGACTGCTCCAGCTGGACTGTTGGACGGGGGGGCAACAGTCAGATAAACAACGGTGGAACTGTGCAGCCAGGGTACACAGCCCTGCCCCTTCCTGCCCCTTACTGCCCCTTCCTGCCCCTTACTGCCCCTTCCTGCCCCTTCCTGCCCCTTCCTGCCCCTTCCTGCCTCTGCTGCTGCACAACACCACCGGGGTGAAAAAAACAACCACCTTCCTCTCTTTGTTGCTCTCCGTCCACCGTGCCAATACGTCCATCAGCAGGAGAACAGCAGTGCCCCCCCCCCCAGCAGTCCCCCCACCCTCTTCCTTCATCTCCTTTTGTTGATGTCAAACAAACACCTGCCTGAACGCAGCGCCCCCTTTTGTTGGGTTAAAAAATCTTGTGAAGAATTTGACCTTGAATCATGTTTCCGTGAAGATGAGCTTGAAGAGCAGAGAAGACGCGTGAACGTCACCGTACCATCGACCTGGACCAGCTGTGGATCAGTGGGAGGTCAGCCTTCAGGGTCACGTCTAGGTTCTGCCTTCATCTGATGTTCTGGTGTTTGGATCAGGTTGGGTCGAACCCAGAGCCGTCTGTCACTCCTCTGCAGGACGGCTGAGGTTCAGTGGACGGACACTTGGATCCAGATGTGTTCCTACTTCTAACTCCGACCCCAAAGGATTCTGGGTAAATCTGGGGGTAACTGTGCCACAGGTGAACAGACCTGTGAAGGTCAGTGGAGATGCAGATCTTCTACCAACACGTTCTAGTAGTTTCTGTCT